CGAGTTTCCTGTTGGGCTATCCTGGCTCCACCAACGGCAGTGGGCTTGATCCCTCCTCGATATTTCGCAACGACGGCGCGGCCTGTAACAGCAATCAAAGTTGGGCCCGTGCACAAGCCTCAGCCCATCGGTCCGTTCCTTCTACTAGCCCAGCCCACCCAACTCCAGGAGAAGACAAGGGCCCACTTGCAGCCTCAGCCCCTTCACTCCCTCGTCTCTCCGCTCTGGCACGCGGGTCCCCTCGCCGGCGTCACGCGACTCCAGATCCCCAATTCGGACATGGCCGGCCGCCGCGAAGGCGAGCGCCAGCCGAGCCCGTGGCCATCCGGGACGGCCGCGGTGGAGGAGGACTCGGGCGCCTTCCCCTCCGCCATCATCCTCTTCGCCCTCGTCGGCGCCACCGCCACCACCGCCGCCGTAAGCCTGCTGCTCTGCCCTCCGTGCCCCGCTTCTTCCTTTCATCGGTCCCTCGGCCCGGCGGCCCTGAGGCATCGCTTCTCCCTTCCCTCCATCACTCGCCCCGGCGGCCCTGAGGCATCCGGATGTGTGGTTACACTGAGACAAATCTTCTGAAACGATGGTCCCTTTCAACTGTTACTGCTCGTGGATTTCCGTGTGCGATGATGCATTTGCTTGCGGACTTGTAGGTCGGACAACTGCGCCGGACGGTCAGCTGGCTCTACACTCAGGTACAAAAATTTTACAAAAAAAAGGTGTCATTTTAGCATTTGCTTTAGGGAGCAGCATTGCCTTGAAGGTGAGTTTGGGGGCAGATCGGTGAAACCTTTTTTCCTCCATTGAAGCTTAGTAGGTCGGAACCGTATGTGTTCTGGGAAGACATACCTCGTCGTCGACCAATTCGGCGCGGTGAAGCCTGGGAACGTTTTCACCAGAGGATGCGTGAAAGGACCGAGGATCAAAGGGAAAGAGTGGTCAGTGCCCTGCTCGCATACAAGATACTACAAATGCATTTAAACACTTGCACATTAAAAGTGAATCCATTAGCTTATTCACTCTACAGCCCTTAGGTTTGTTGTTATTATTGAGTTGCTTCTTAGAGAATAGAGATGAACATGAACTTCGGGAAAAACATCAATTTGTATGGATTATTGACTTAGGAAAGTGTTAGTATGAAGCAGCCAAGGTCATACATTGTACCAAGCAATATTTTCTCCTCAACTTTCTTTTCCCCTTGAGAATTCTAAGCTGAAGAAAACTTCGATAGGACAATATTTGCTTGAGAAACATCGAGTAAAGAACCATCTCACAGATTGGTGTCACTATGTTAGTCTCATTTCTTTCATTTTGTTTGCATGCTGGTTCGTTTCAACTAATCCTGATCCAACAGTAAGTGATTTATGTAGGAACGCATACGGCGCATGCAAGATGTATTTGAAAAGGAGAGATGTAAATGTCGGGATTATCGAACTTGGGAAAGCCATAATCCCAACTACTATCAGCATCATCAAAGAGATGACTGGTACTGGAACGCAGAAACGTTTTATGCGAATCAAAGGACAAATTTCAGGGCGACGCCCAGGGAAGCTATGAGTTACACTATGTCACATCACTATTCTGTTTTGGGCCTTGACAGGTATGTACTAACAGCCTTTCATGTCAGTGAACATTCCTATATATTTGCCAGCTGTATGTGACGATGGCCTAGTTTGTTGTAAACCACTGTCATTCCTAATCACCTGTTCTATCTGTGGCAGTCAATATTAGCAAAGAAGCATTGTTACACCACTTACATTTGAATGTGATTAACGCAATTCTTCTCACCTTTGTTCCTTTTCATTGCACCTGGTTAAAGAAAAGATATCACCCAGCTTTGTAGAAAGAAGAATCAGCCGCTTTAGTCTTTCACATACTTTGCATTCATGTTACCCTGAAATTGATGCTAGCATGCCTGTAGTGACCCTGAGTAACTGATATCACCATAATGCCTGTAAGGCTGTAACCTATTTTTTTTCTTTCCATTCCCTAGGTCAAGATCAGAGCCATTTTCAGATGCTGAAATCAAGGTGTGCCTTCTACCTGTTCATTTTGTGTCTACTGAATATTTTTCTACTGAAAAGAGTGCAATGTGCTTTGTCCAATTTATGTTGGACAGTTTGAAACATAAAAGCGAACTAAAGTTTACGCATTTGAAAATTTGTACAGAACTTCTGTAAGGTACTCTCTACAATCCTGAAATGGTGATTATGAGCGAAGGGAGGGAGGGGATATGTTCTTCTAAATATTGTGTATTTGTGTTTGAAATTGACGTTTGCCTATAAGCGTCCTCTGATGTGCTGGTAGAATAAACATTTACTCTGTAGTCTGTACCAAGGGTAGATAAGTCATGTAAGCAAGGTATGGTTGCACAAAGAGGCATTCTCCTGTCCAAGTTTTCAGCCATCCTCTATTGTGCCCAAGTCTTTAAATTTCAGTGTTCATTAATGAACTGCAAATTAGGCTTGTATGTGTTCTTTGTTATTTCCTTTCATGTCAGATGGCCAAAGCTTTTCAGGCAATTATCTGTACATCTTGCTTACTTGTTTTATCATTGCATTACAGAATGCTTTCAGGAGAAAAGCAATGGAGTATCATCCAGACCAAAACCAAAATAATAAAGGTAAATACAGTTTCCTTGTCTCTCCTCTGTCCCTTATGCAGGGCTAATATGCCCATTGTGTATACATGTGCTCAGAAGCTTCCTCTATTGACTATGGCAGAGGTTGCTGAGAAAAAATTCAAAGAGGTTATGGATTCTTATGAAGCAATAAAACTAGAACGACGAAATAGAAGTTGCTGAATGTTCTCACGATTTTCGGGTGCTGGGAGGGACTGCTGTATATACAGTGTTTGATGTGGGACAAACTAGATGTAAGGTATAAACTATAAGCTCGAAGATGCAGATTCAGACACTGTTGTCTTTGATAACCCACTATTTTCTTCGGTAACCCTTTGATAAAACTACACAGAGCAGAGTAGTTCCTGCTGGCAGAAGACAACTTCAGCATGATGCAATTAATTTCCTGACATTTTCCTTTTTTTTGTATTTTTCATGTTATGGTTCATGGTAGCAAATTTCCGTTGGATATCAATTAGATTATACTGGTGCATTTGTTACTGGTTAACACACACTATTGGTCTCTACTGCCGTGCTCTGCAGCTGATTTGGGTTTGGCTGTTTGACTTTGTTCAGCCTGGCAAAGAAAGGATTTGTTCAATCGAGAGCAAATCTAATCTTTTGAAAAACAAAAAACAAGAGTGGGTTTAGGAAGATAATGAATTCAGATGGGGGAACGAAAGCAGGTCAGTTCAGCCATTCTTTTTTTTTAGTTCTATCTTTGTTGGGGGCAGATAGATAGAGATGTACTCAGATTCTTAGAATCTCAGATGAATGAACACGATGGGGAGTGGGAAGGGCCATGAAGAAACAAACCTTTGGTCACTATTTAGCGAAGCAGAAAACTTGATGTTACATGCATGTATGAGTTGAACATTGGTTTCAGAGAACAAATCAAATCCTTCACTCATGATTGCTAAATTTTGCAGAACACCTTAGTTAAATTTGCCATGGTGATGCATTGGGATGGATCACCACGATATGCTGGACTGCATTTCACGTCAATTTTTTGGTTAGGACAAATAGAAAGTGCAAGTACCCTATTGGTAGAAGCTATGGATTACATCCATTCTTGCTATGAAATAACTTCCTTTGTGCCCTGTTGTCAAAAAAAAAAAAAAAAAAAAAAACTTTGTGTCCTACTACACCTGCCTGCGTAGTCAGCTCTCTCAGACAAGGGCGCCATCCAAACAGGCCTGAAATCCAACAGGACAAGCTTGGTTTGAACTGTCGATACGGCCTGGCAACTGGCATAGCCTGGCCACGGGCTATCTCAATTGTCAGATCCTCCAGACTCCATACGCGATTGCGTTCTGCCCGTGTTCCAGGCTTCCAGCTATAAGCTGGTTGCAGAGTCACAGCAATCAAACATATGGGCCTCAATCAGCTATTCAGACACGAAAGCTTTTGTGCCTGAACAGTGATCTTCAGCGGCCATCGTCTGAAGATGCATGTTTTGAGCTGTGACATGCTGACAGCAACGTCAATGGAACTCATGTAAGCTCTGGTCCAACAACGATCCATGCTTTAATTTGGTATGGCCATCCATGAGAGTTCCATCACAGGTTGCGGCATTTTTCAGGAGAAGCTATCAGTCTGTCTCTGTCCCACCCAAAGCAGTGAAATGGGCAGATAATATATAGGGTCAGAGCGAGATGCAGCTAACAATGAGAAATGGTACTTCAATGCATCACTGAGTGGTCAATCACCTGTATGTTCTGCTGCCATCCATATGGATGCCTGCTGTTCCTGAGACATTCAACGGGGAAGCTGTAGTCACATTGTTGGTCTAGGGAATCCAGGTGCCCTTGTCCCCCGAGGGGAAGTGGTGAATTAGGAATTTAGGACAATTTATTAAATTTTTCACAAGATAAAAGCAAAGCATACATAGGTACCATACCATTTTATGGTTATTAATTTGTTCCCACGAGACGCACTAGGAAAATATAAACATAATTAGAAACGTCCGACCATCAATTTAGTATATTGTAATCGTCATTGGTAATAATAGCCATTGTTCTATTATGTTTTTAAAATACACATCTCTAACATTACAAAAATAGACTAAGTAACCCTGGATCAGTGTGACCCAACTTTGACATTAGCTTAGGTTGCTTCTCTCTCTTCTTGCATTGAATTGACTAACTTGCATTATGAACCATAGGCTATAGCGCAGGTAATCAATAAAAAATAATCTCACTTTCCTTTTGTATTTCCTGGTGATTAACGTCCCGATTCTAGATTCCTGGCAGTCTTCTTCTCGATGCTTAAAATTCCACTGTTGACAATCTCGGAGCTTGCCAAGGATGACTCTCCAAGCAACAACTCCATCGCCTCAGGGTTCTGCTGTTGTTCCCATGGATGTTGCATCACCTTTCTCAACCTATCAAGAAACTTCCCTCATCGACGGCCTATTGATGCCAGATATCTCCAAGCACTGCTTTGCTAACTCTGCAATCTCTTCCAGAAACTCCATGCTTTCGTCATTCTTGAGTTGATCATCCAGTATCTCCTCCAGCCTGCCCTGCTTTGTCACATAAATAAACCTCAATGCTAGGCTCTTCTCATCTTCAGGTGCATCAAGATTGAAGGGCTTTTTGCGTGTGAGAAGCTCCTGGAGAACAACCCCAAAGCTATACACATCACTCTTGTCTGTCAAATGGCACGTCTGCATGTACTCCGGGTCAAGGTACCCACAAGTTCCTTGAACAAGTGTGACGAACTGCGACTCATCAGTTGGCGCTAGGATGGAAGCGCCAAAGTCCGATACTTTTGCTGTATAGTCGCTATCGATGAGGATGTTGGAAGACTTGACATCTCCATGGAGGATCGGTGGGGATGCCCATGAGTGCAGGTAGGCAAGCGCCTCAGCGGACTGATGGGCGATCTGTATGCGAGTTGCCAAGGAAATCTGCCTGCCATGGTTGCCATGGATGAGTTGGAACAGTGTGCCATTCGGGATGATCTCATATACCAGCATCGGGACCTGCACTTCGAGGCAGCAACCGAGTAGCTTAACGATGTTCCTGTGGTTGATTTGAGAGAGGATTAGCATTTCCTTGCCGAATTCTTTCTTGTTCTGCTCGTCAATGGACATACATCTTTTTACAGCCACTTCCACGTTGCCTTTGAGAATCCCCTTGTACACAGTTCCATGTCCTCCCTGACCCAGCACTCGTTTCTCGTCGAACTTGTCGGTGGCTTCTTGCAATTCTGCTTCTGAGAATATTTTGAAAGCAATGCTACTACCTTGTTGTGATTTTATCTCCTCAAACAACAGCATACCTCCATGCTGTTGGAAGTATCTCTGCTTGATGTGCTGTAGCTTTCTTCTTTGTTGGATCAAGTATGCACAGGTTATGGTAACGACTAGGACCACTGGTCCAACACTTGAACCTGCATGCAAGATTCAACACACTGATAGATCAGTACTTTTTTGTTATAAAATTAGAGAAGAATATATAGGCAACGGCTATGAAATCACAACTGTTTGTACGAAATAGTATAACAAACTAATTGGTAAGGGCATGCTTGGACAGTTTGGAGCACAGCTCAAACAGGAAGGGAGTGCCTTGCTGCAGGGCAGGGGAGTAGGGGAACCTACCTACGACTGGTATCACCCAAGAAGAGGACTTCTGATTTGCCATGCACCTGTCGTACGTCTATCATTGTTTTTCCCCGTGGACATAAACATTTATAGCTTCCCTGTGTATTTTCGCAAGCCGTTGCCCCTCTGGCTGTGCAATTATTCGTATAATTCTGAAAGCATTCATTGATATCTGAAAGGAAACAACAACACTTCACACATCACATACCACACACTTCGAATGCAGGGTTGCATCGAATTTTCTTGCTAATTTCTTTAGAGAGAGCGCAGAAAATGAACCTGTGCATCCATCGCTGATGTAGGGATTGCCTTGATACCCATCCCGGCACTTGCAGCGGTAGCCTGGCCCGTTGATGGTGTTGACACATTCGCTCTTGTCACTAACACATGCATAGTATGCAAGTGAACTGAGGTTCAATTTAGCCTCCTCGCATGTGTCATATGTAATCCTCCAGTCCATTTCAACTGGAACTGTGCCGTTGTATGCATACCAGCACTACTACAGAAATGGTTGGTTTCTAGGGCGGCTGGTGAGGCTTTATAGAGGTAGCTCGGTCAGCTGTTCCTACCGTACCGTCTCTACAAATTATGTATTTATAGGGACGATTCCCAGACCGTCCTTACAAATCGATTTGTAGAGGCGGCTGGTGTTATCAGCCGCCCCTATAATACATGTTTGTAGGGGCGGTTCAGTATAGAACCGCTATATATATATATATATATATATATATATATATATATATATATATATATATATATATATATATATATATATATATATATATATATATATATAATTCAAATCTGACCACAAGCATAAGAGCATTATATAAACTACCATTACAAGTCCAATGCACAAGAATATATACAATCCATCGTTAAATAGACATAATTCACAAGTCTAATTCGTTCCACAAGTCCAAACCGTCCCACAAGGTAAGACCAATGTTAAATTCCATACACATTGTTATCGACGGCCTAGAGGAGGATTTGTACCTAAGTCAGAATCTTGGTCATGTTAAGTGCCTTTGACGTGTACAATCTGGTCCAATATGAAGTTGCAAAGGTCGCCGACGAGCTCTAAGAGTTGGTCATCCTTGTATGGGTCTCTTTTCATTTCTTTCTCTTCTTTCCACTACAAGAGAACAAGTTTCGGTTTAGTATTTCATATCACGTGCGAAGTTTTTATACTACGGGTGAAGAGGTTCAAACTTACCTTAAGGGGTGTCTCCTGTAGGCACCGGTGTTACTCATCATAAAACATACATAGTATCTATAATGTACACTCCCAGGCTTCTACTTGGGGCAATATGTGTTTTGCATATGGAAATGTTAAGTAATGCTTTTGACAGCCATGTAATGAAATACTAAAGTAAGTTACACTTACCGCACATGCCATCCGTGATGTTCATTGACATAGAACCTGAATGCCATGTTCCAATTATTTTAGCAAATGCAACTTGTTAGTATCCAAAAGTGAATGTTACAAGTATGTATACAAACATATAAGCTACTGAGGATTGTCGATATGTATACGTCTTGAGAATCGATATGAAGTCTTTGTATGTCACCGAGTCCCTATCTATTGAATCAAAGACCCATGACATGCTCCTCCCGACATCGACGCCTATACAAATCCAGTGGTTGCTGCATGAATTTAATCATAGAACTAGATAATCTCTTTTGCATCGAATAAATATATATCGAACAAAGCTTTAAGTATAGAGTTAAACTTACTCGAAGTTGTATGGTAGCCATATAGTAGAGTGCTGTTGGAGATTTTTAAAAGCCAGGGCAATGTATGCCGAAACCTTAAGGGACTCTTGCCTTAGTTTCTTCGCATGGATGTCCTCTTTCTCCAGAAGGGTCTTTCCAGCAGCTACCTCTTTGGCATCCAATTTCCACTGTCTAGGGTAATAAAAATTTGTTTGTGCGGCTTGAGGGTCTATATACACAGCTTTCACACTTGGCATTTGTTTTACAATGTGCACTTGCATTCTACAAATCATAGCGTGGGTTAGTTACAACAAAATCCAAAGATTACATTCATATCATATCAGGAGGGCAATGACTTACAGGCACCATGTGCGAATTAGATTTATTTCCATTGCTCTGAGGTAAAAGCATGTCTGCATGTCATTGAAGTCAAAGATAATTTTCCCGGCTGGGCTTCCAAATGTGTCGGCGGGGAAGCATGCTTGTACGAGGTCTATGCTCGTTAGGAGAACATGCAAGTACCAATTATGGAACCTTCTCATTCCAAGTGGTAGGCGCTGGATGTCCCGGTTTAGTAGGAAGGGCTTGCCTCTTTCATATGTTTTCGGGCAATCCTTTGACCATTTGATGGCATCAACATTTGGATACTTCTTTATTGTTTAGTGGACTTTGCTAGTGACTGTCTCCTCAGAAGCCCGTGTTGGGACTTTTTAACTTGGTTCTCAGGCTTGAACTGGTCATGGGCATACCACTTGTGCACCGACAAGACATCTTTTATCGGAACATAAATTGGCCTTATGGTGATTGGATGCTTCTTTCGAAGTTCCCATTCAGGCACGTCCTCATCTTCATGTGCATCACCTTCTTCAGGAGGCACTCGTTGTTCATGTATCGGCTGCGCTTGTTGAGAAGACTGTGGCATCTCATCATGCACTTGCTCGGTACGAGCTGGAGAATGTTGTGGCTTATCAGGCACATGCTCACTAGAAGGCGGGGAAGAATGTGGCATCTCAGGAATGTGGGGGTCACGAGACGGTGAAAATATCTCTCCGTCCTCAACAACTCGCTCTAAATTTGAGAGAGGGGGAGCTAGCGAAGAAGCAGTCAATATAATGTCCCGTTTGTGCCAGAGGATGAACTGCCCCATTACGTCTCCAAGTAACACCAGCCCCTCGGGAGTTGTGTAGTCTATCCTTCACTGCATGAACTCGGGCTTCATGGTATGCACCTCGACCCTAGTATAATCCGGTGGTATCTTATTATTTGTGGTGTAAGCCACCGGGAGGATGTGCCACACCCGTTGCCACCTCCATCACAATGTTCTGCTAGCCGCTGAGAAACACCAAGGTGCAACTAGTTGGTTCCCATATGCGATCGATGAGGGTTGTGGCTGCAGTGGAACCTTGGCTGCTAGGAACTTTCGGAGGGCTACCAACTAATGCCAGTTCTCTCGGTGGCGTCATTAATATGCATGGCTCCGTAGACAGTCCTTGCTCCTCCAGTGCCTTTGCAACTAGAGCCTTCACTTGGAGCTCAAGATTAGTCTCTCGGTCTCTGCCATGTTTCTTGTACATGTGCCTATCCTCTTTGAATCTGTGCTTCCAGATGGTCCTTTTCCCTAGCCCCCTGGTGCGGCCTGTGTGCTCGTTGTTTCCCAAGGCAAGGCTAAGCTCGTCCCTCTCTCTAGAAGGATTGAATGAGCCCTTCTCCTTGTCTTCAGCATATTTCAGTATCCTTGATACTGCCTCTTGGGTCTCTGGCTTATCAAACTTAAGATTACCATCAGATGATTCTGTACTCCTCGCATATATCCAATTCCTTGAGCATACCTTCAAATTCTTCACATCGATATTCCCAGAAGCTGCGTCCTCTTCGTCCATCTTCCTAAACTGCTCTTCCTTGGCATAGTAGCCACCAGGGCCTAGATGATGGTGGTGTTTGTTCCTCTTCGCTAGCTCGGTATTACAGACACTGAGCTCCAATGCCTCCGGTGAAGTCTTCTAAGCCATGAGTTCCTCCCATTGACTAGGAGTTATGTTGCAGAACTCGTTGAAGGGAGTTAACCCCTTTTGGATATACTACTTGTTCAGCTCCGACCTCCAACATCGGAATGACTCTCCCATGATCTTGAAAGCATTTTTTACCGGTTCTTGCTTACCCTCCGGAAATCTAAAATTGAGCTTCAGCTGCTTATCCCATAGTTCATTCTTTTTCTTCTCTGGTACCTCTTTCTAGTTAGGGATTGCTGGGTTCAATTTATCTCTTACTAGGGCCCCGATCGCATTATGGAATCGTCCTCTGAATTCCTTCGGCTCAAAGATCTCTCCTGCTGGCCCGACCTCTGTTATCACATAGCATGCCTTATTTGGATATTGGTTTGCTTTTCTATCCCCTTGTTTCCTCTTTGGCTCGGTAGTCGTGTTCGTGGTTGTGTCTTGAGGTTGTGGAGCAGAGGCCTCAATGTCCGTCTCTATGGTTATTTCCTCTGCTCTCCTTTCCTCTACTCTGTCTTGTCTGGCGAGATGTCGCAGACGTCGACGTCTTCTTTTCTGAGTTTTAGGAGGGACCTGTATATACGATAGGTCAAAGTGTTAGCAAAGGTAACACAACCAAAGCTTTAGCAAAATTTACAAGATAAGGCTTTATCCCTACCTCCTCGTTCAGGTCAAAATCCTTGTCCAAATCTTCCTCCATTGGCCTTCTCTGGCTTCACGTGGGAAAGGATCCTTGGGACTTACATATCCCTCTTCTGAGTCCTCATCATCATCATCCTCTTCTTCTTCACCTTCAGCAGCCTCTCCTGCTCTTCCTTCTGCTCCCCTTCCTCCTCGTCACACTGCTCCTGAGTAAGCATCACTTCTAGATTCTTTTCTAACTCGTTATCGAACTGCTCCTGAGTAAGCTGGTCCTCTAGTGCTTGCTCCTCATAGGTTGGCTACTCATCATGCTTGGGGCATCGGGCTGCACTGTCTGGTGTCCGCGATATTATTTCACGCTTTATTCTAATAGATGCAAGAAAGTGTGCTTTAGGTACGCGAGAAGGTATAAGAAATCAAAAAGGTCTATAAATCAAAGTAGTCCTATAAAACAACAATACATCAAAAAATGAGTAGTAGCAGTAGTAGAGGCCTCAAAAACATGTCAATCATTATTTGATCATGAACTTGGAGTATCAAGGCATCATAACAGAGAAGAGAGGAGAAGGTAATGTAGGGGCGGCTGGTAATGATGCCAAGTTTCTCACAAGTTCTTGATCATTACCTCTTCATATCAAAGATAATTTCTGGAGTTGGACAATTTCATCATTGGCCAAAGAGAGGAGAGTTGGGTAAAAATTGTCAAAATGCTGCCTACCCAAAAAAAGAGCAACTGCTGGCAAACATAGAAGTAGTAGAAGAGGAGAGGAGAAGAGTAGTAGAAGTAGTAGGACTAGGCCAAACAAATCAGCTGCTGCCTGCCAAAAAACAGCATCTTTGGTCTTATTATTAGCAGAAAATCGATGAACTAGTGACCATATATATTACTGACCATATAACAGACTAGTACAAGTAGGCCAAAAATGCAGCAATGTAGTAGTATAAACAAAAGCAGCAGTGTAGTAGAATGCACAAAAAATGACATTTCAAAATTTTCAGTTGCAGTTGCAGTTCTCTCATAATACATGCTTATGAATATTGAACACTGAAAGCACAAATATATAACGATCCATTGACGAGCCTTTAATTTGCTTTCCCTTTAATTTAC